CGTTTCGTTTCGTTTCTTGTTTAACTCTTCTAGCGCATCTGATTAAGTTTTAATCATTTTTGAAATGAAGAAAGTTTGTATTTGTGCAACAGGAGAAAACCTGTTATAGATAATGAAACTTCCAAAAATCACAATACTAATGAGAAAACACTGATTAAACTCTAATCCTTTTGGCAGTAAATTAATAAAGATATTTTCATAATATTTTCTTTTTTTAAATGTTTAGATAACAATAAATGTGGCCACACATACTAATAAAGAAAAAACAAATCTGATTAAACTAAGACGTTTATGTTTATACAACATTGTCTGTACTAAAAAAACTTTAATTTCAAAAATAATTTTCTATGATAACACTAATAAGAACAACAAATAAAATTACCTCTGATTAAACTCGACTCGTTTTGGAAGTATAAACTAAAAACACGTTTGATTACAAAACATTTTCTATGCAAAAGTATGATAATTTCCTTAGCATAATACTATTACAAGCAATAGATAATACTTTATCTGAATAAGCTCGATTAATTTAGGAAGTAAATTAAGTGTTTACATTTATACAATGTTTTCCGGACTGAAAAAAACTTCATTTTAGATTTTTTCACGAGTTAAAATACTAACAAAAACAATAAATAAAAATAATAAAAATTGAAGTTTTGAAAAATTTCACAAAATTTACGGCTAATTCTCCTTCCTCGATCCCCCTCCGACGTTTCGATTGAGGCTTCAAGAGTCTTTATCAAGCTAGGGTGTTTTACAACCCTTGAAAACCAACAAATGAAAATACCCAAACTCATTTTAGAAGTGAACTAAAAAGTCTTAATTTATAAAACATTGTCTATATAAAAGTAAAACTTTATTACTAAGAAATAATAGAAGTAATACTAAGAAAAGCAATAGTTAAACTAATGTTAGAATACAGGGATAAAGTGAAAATCCACTTGATCAACTTTATACTAATAAGACAGAGGACATCAAAAGCAAGAGTTCTGGCTTATGAAAACTACTCATAAATGAGTGAGAGTGAGAGTGAGAGTGAGAGTGAGAGTGTGAGTGAGTGTGTGAGAGTGTGAGTGAGTGTGAGTGTGAGTGTGAGCGCGTGTGTGAGTGCGGGTGTGAGTGTGAGTGCGGGTGTGAGTGCGGGTGTGAGTGTGAGTGCG